TAAAACCTAAAACCCTAGAATCGCAAGTAGAAGCGTCAGACATAAAACGGGTCGTAGGCGAGAGTCGCAGGCATAGTAATTGCAAGACCCGGTCGCAGGCATAGTGGTCGCAGTCGAGAGTCGCAGGCATAGTGGTCGCAAGACCCGGTCGCAGTCATAGTGGTCACAGTCTTAACAAATCTCCAAAAGATTAGGTTCAATCGCCCGATGCCCCTATCACTCCAGTCTGATGTCTCAGGAAAGCAGGTAGATATTTTTAAATATTCCGTAGGAAGAGGGAAATAGCCATTTTTTTATTTTCCCAGACACATTTTGGATTTTGGAATCGGTTCGAGACCCGATCCTTGCACATTTTGGAACGATTTACCGTTTCTCACATAGTTCCCTCGTAAAGTTTTATTAGACATTTGAGGCCTGAAATCGAATCGACATACCGGTCCATATCAAAAAAAAATATTCAGTAGAGTCGTCAGAAAAAGAAGAAAAAAAGTACGTACACAATCCATATTCTATATCTACCACCCATCGGCCAACAGTCTACCAACACCCACCGACAGTCCTGCTATACACAGTATTTACCCATCATGATGTATGCACATATGCACCAGGTGGGCAGGCCCAGCACACACAGTATGTACACGTCTCATCGACTGGTGTCTGAAAATGTCTACTACATATTACTGCAGATATGGCTCTAGTATATATTGTGTACGGAATAAAGTCGTATGCTTGCACATTGATATGTATATGAATAAATAGGGCCACGTCGCCATATTGGCCACCGCATCGTTAATTTGTTGGCAGCTCAGATGTGTACTAATAACTACTATGTCCGACCCATATATTGGCCCTTTTCTTTTTAGCGACGATTTTGGCTTCTTCACCCAATTTTGATAGAACTGGGCCAAGAAATTTCGAAAATGTTGGTATTTCCCTGTCCCCACACAATCTTTTTTTGTTTTGTTATTTGTCTATTAGAAGGCAATGTTATTTGTCTCTGGTAAAAAACATTTCTATAGATTCTTCGAGGAAGGGAATGAGAGAGTTCGGTACTTACTCCAACAACGATTCATTTACGATTGTATGACTGAAATTTAGATCCAGGGTATTGGGTCTTAGTCTGACAATGACACTTTGACCAAAAAACCTTCTGAATAAGTCCTGAACCTCCTCTTATATTTATTTGACCATTGCCTAGTGAAGTCCTGAACCTACATATTTTTTACGCGAGCCTACATAGCTACACACTCCTAAAGTAATACAGTTTGGCAACTGTTAGATCCCTCTCGCATGTACATAAATATGTACACAACCGAACCGTTCATGGATAAATAATATCGCGGACAACGTAGAAGTCACGCATTCGCGTTCGCATCTCTCCACTACCTTCATACTGTGGTACATGGCTATCTTACACCTGTATTTTAATATATATATATGTACATAAAAGCGCAATTCATGGCTAGTATACCTATAATCTGAATATATATATCCTGTGTGTACAACACAATACATGGCTAGCATACCTGTTTTCTGATATATCTGTGTGTATAGCACAATATGAGCGTGGAATCTCTGGTTGAACCGAGTATCATAGCCAAGCAAATCGCGTCAGGAAACGATGCTTCGAATGCGAAAGATGCAGTGGTGCTCAGCTCGCTCTCGCAAGGTGCTACAGAGGACGCTATAGTTATAGATGATGCGGAGAAATTCGACGAAAACGCCGAGAAAGATAAGGACGCGAGCAGCATATCACAAGATAATGAGAGTAATAATACAGATACAAACACCAACCTATCCGGCACGGACAGTATTGGAACGAGTGTTGCTGTAGACGATTCAGCTAGATGGACTCAATTACTAGTACTAGTCGTAGGCATGATATTGATGATGTCGCTGTGGTTCAGTGCATCTGTCGCCCTGCCCCAGTTTGCAGTCACTCTTGATCTGAGTACGTTTGAGAGCAGTTTGTTAGTCGCGTCTGTAAACATGGGATTTATCTTGTTTGGCCTCATCTCGGCCTTAGCTATGATCGCGGACCGGTTCAGCGCACGGAAGGTAACCTGATCTGTAGAGATAAGTCTTGTTTAGGTACCAAACACATAGTATAGAGGTGCATTTTAGAGGCCATACTTGCAAAGTATAATTAGTAGATTGCTTTTGGTGCGTTTATCTGCACATGGCGATTGTCCACTCAATTCCGTATGAATTCCTGTATAACATACAATTCCAAACATTTAAACTCTCTCCCTAATATATATATATATATATATATATATATAATATATATATATTACTTATATATATGTATATTAATTTAT